TAGGGGCTGGGGCTTTAGCTCAGTAGCATAAGCGCCTGCCTTGCAAGCAGGCAGTCGTGAGTTCGATCCCTGGTACCGATAAAAACGAGTAAGACAAAAAAATAATTAAATAAAAATAAAAAATAAGAAGCCAGGCATATAATTCCAGTATTTGAGAGGTTGAAGCAGCATGACTGTTGCAGGTTCAAGACTAGGCTAAGGCTACAAAGTGAGCTTCAGACCACCCTGAACTGCATAACAAGAGCCTGCCTCAAATAGACAAAAATAAATAAATAAATAAAATTTCAAGAATGGTATGTAATATACTAAACCCAGTAAACCTAAAAGCAAGGGGAATATTTCCCTGAAATTCAGATAAAATTTCCAGTGATCTCAATTAATAGAGAAGGCCAAGCATGGTGGTGCACACCTACAATCTCAGCACTGGGATGCATAGTGAATCTCAAAAAAATAAATAAAAAGAGAAGTTAGAAACCTCCTCATTTACCTAGCCCACAGTGAGCCTAACTAAATTACATGCAAAAGAGTAACTGAAAGGGGCTGGAGATTTAGCTCAGCAGCATAAGCGCCTGCCTTGCAAGCAGGCAGTCATGAGTTTGATCCCTGGTACTGATAAAAAAGAAAAAGACAAAAAAAAAAGTAAGTGAACAACTGCACACACCAAAGCATCAGGGAAGAATTCCAAGTTTGCCATTCAGGCAAATCTCCATCAGTTTCCAAGATGCAGTTTTCGGGCCAGGGATTTAGCTCAGCTTTGTAGGTGCCTTCGTAGGTGGCAAAGGCCTGTAATCCCAGCACTCAAGAGGTTAAGGCAGAAGATCACTGAGTTCAAAAGCCAGGCTGGGGTACATAGTGAATTCAAGGCCAGCTTGATCTACAAGCAGGGACACCCTATTTCTAAGTAAATAAATGGATTTTTGTTTTGCCAACTCATCAATTCACAAACTGTTATGTTTCATGGGAATGTACTACACCTACACTTCTCCAGCCGACTGACATTAAAGACAGCAATCAAAAAAACTAAAATGTAAAAGCAGTTTTAGATTCTAGGGCTGGGGATTTAGCTCAGCTGCATAAGAGTCTGCCTTGCAAATGTGCGGTCGTGAGTTCGATCCTTGGTACTGATAAAAAAGAAAAAAAAAATCCTTGGTATCGATAAAAAAGAAAAAGTAAAAGTAGTTTATTCTTCACCCCAGTGGATAGCACAAAACATACTATACAACAAATTGAAAAGCTAAAGGATGAGTTTAAGAGATGGCCATACTATATCATTAAGAGTAAAAAATCGGGGCTGGGGATTTAGCTCAGCAGCGTAAGCACCTGCCTTGCAAGCAGGCAGGTTGTGAGTTCGATCCCCGGTACCAGAAAAAAGAAAAAGAAAAAAAAAAAAAAAAAAAGCAAAGAGTAAAAAGTGATATTTTCGGAGCCAGGGATGTAGCTCAGCAGCAAAAAACCTGTCTGGCAAGCACAAGCTCCTGAGTTCGATTCCCAGAACAAAACAAAACAAAAAGGCATTTTCAGGGCTAAATACAAGAGAAGTGTGTATTCCCATAAGATTTAAATGTAGCTATTAAAGTTCATAATTGCCTGTATTTTCAGTTTCTCTTAAAAATAAAGCCTAATCCTTATCACACAACTAATCTTGAAATATTTAGCTTTGATATTAAAATTAGGGGGAAGGGGGCTGGAGATAAGCACCTGCCTTGCAAGCAGGCAAATCATGAGTTCGATCCCTGGTACCGATAAAAAGTTGATAAAAAGTAAAAAAAAAATAAAGTAAAATAAAATTAGGGGGAAAAACAATTTCAGTAAGAGAAAAAAAGATACAACCAGATGGGTTCCATACAGACCGGCCTTTAGGGCTGACTAGCTCTGTGGCTTTTTCCCTCCGTGTCAACTAAGAAAAATACTAGAAAACAATAAAAGATTAAAAATAACACTATGGCATTAGTTACTATGAAGGCAGAAAATCAATCTTCTATAAACGTAAAGCACAGATACATATGGCACATGAATCTAAAAAAACATTATGCATAGTTATTTGGGGGGTAATATATTATTTAACAATTCTTTTTTTGGAGGGGGTGCCTGGGATCGAACTTAGGACCTTACACTTGCCAGGCAAGTGCTTGTACCACTGAGCTAAATCCTCAGCCCCTATTTAACAATTCTTAAGAGGACAAGTAGGGAAAATACAAGTACTGTAATAAAAGACAATTTCCTCAACATCTATACCTAATCTCCCTACTGAACCTTTCTTGAAACAACTGCACATGCCAGCACAGCTAACACTTTAAAATAATATCTTTTTCATCACTCTTCACTCTATTATAATCTTCTCCAAATCTTAAAATATAACTTTGAGGCCTAGGATAGGGCCTAGCACACTCAAGTAGTTTGATCCTCAGCAAACTGTGCCATACATGAAATAACTAATTTCTAAAGGCTCTTTTCTCACTTGTGTATGACTTAACCCGCCTTTGCAAAATATTCTTTGTAAATTTCTGCCATGAAAGTCTCTAGGAACCCACACTACTACAATGTTCCCAAAACAGGTGTCAGCAAGCAACACACAACTCTCCTTCCTTAATACTTTGCTTTCTCTTACTCCCCAAGTTTTTTTAAATTTGCTTTTTAATTTGTACTTATGTGTTTACAGTACATGATTACATTCATCATGGAGAATTCCTGTACATATATAACACATCTTACCATCTCTTTACATCCCCTTCCACATGCTTTTTGTGTACAGAAGTTCTTCCCCCACCCATTTTCACTCAGTTTACATCGCCAGGCCTGTTCCCTAGAAAATAAAAATCTACTCTTGCTTAAGTATGGAACAATTTGCTTAGTTCTCCCTTTCTTTTCAGCCTCACTAGTGTGCTACATCAGCTCACAGTGGGGAGCTCTGAGAAAGAAATCCAGTGACTTGCCCCAATAGCATGTACCAGGTGGATAAAAACTGGCAGGAGGAGGAACTGGGAGATATTTTAATGGAAGCTTCCCATGTGCTTCAACAAACTAATGCCTGAGGCTTGGTTCATGTTCATTAGTCAGAGAAAGAAAGAATATTCCTGTGTGTTCTTTCTCAATGTGGCTGAGAAGTACATTTCTAAGATGCTGCTGATAATTTCCCTCTGCAGTGAAAAAGGAGACCACATGAGAAGAGAAAGAAACAGGCACTAATTTCTTGTCATTCTCCCCTCTACTCCTAGATGCCACTAATGACATGGGTATATCCAAATAGGAACCCTAAGGAAACATGGGAAAAATAAAGCCATAGCAAATGTGAAATGAGGGCTTGAAGGCAAAGAAGGGAGTTCTGAGAGGATGAAAATGAATAAAGTTTTTTATGTGCCATTTACAGGCCTGCCAAAATGAAACCCACTAAACTGTAAAACCAACTTGAAAAAACGAGCAGAGGAAAAAAGCTAAGATAAATGGAATTTTAGAGGTTACTCACAGTCCTTACCCCCCCCCCCAGGGGGAAAAGGCAGGAAGAGAAACGTGGCTCTTGAGTGGAGGACTGTATGTGACTGAATTTCACGTTCCCCTTCTTTGCTCTTTTATCAGATTGAGACTGCCCGCCTCCCTCACAAGAAGACTACAAGCACTGGGGGCTGCGGATTTAGCTCAGCGGCATAAGCGCCTGCCTTGCAAGCAGGCAGTCATGAGTTTGATCCCTGGTACCGATAAAAACGAAAAAGACAAAAAAAAAAAAAAAAAAAGACTACAAGCACTATGGGACTAAAAGACAACCACAAAAAAGGGAGACAGAAAGATGGCACGGGGGATCAGTAGTACTGTTGCCAAACTATTAAAACAGGAAACAAAGAAATACAATTAAGATAGGAATAAACATTAGATCACCCTAAAACAGTCCTTCTAACCTTTGATATACTAACCAAGTAACACACAGTATCAGAAATTTCACTATGTTCTTAAAATCAGGTTACATTTCAGAAAAATTCAAAAAATAAACGTCGGATGTCCATAATTGAAATTTCAGTCTTCTATTCCAAATAAATTATCTTAAATGTACTTTGCAACTGTTTTTAAGAAATCGTTTTAAAAAAGAAATGACCCCTCAACTACTCAATATTGTAAAAGCAAAGTCTTAAGACTTAAGTAACATTTAAAAGTTACTAAATAATTGGGAGGCTGAGGCAGGAGAATCGTCTGCAAGTCCGAGACCAACCTGGGCTACAAACTGAGCTCAAGGCCAGCCTAAAGTGCATACCGAGACCCTGTCACAAAAAGACCAAAAAAAAAAAAAAAAAGTTAATAAATAAGAACGACCATCAATGAACATTAAACCAACAACAGAAAAACTTCCCTTTTGCCCGTATATGTCCCATGTAGATTTAGAATTAACCTAAGTGTTAGAAAATAGAGATAATGCAGTATACACAAGTAATGGGAAAATAACTGGTGGAAGAATTTACACAAGTTAAATTCGTAACAGCATAATAACTTCATTCAGAGAATAGAACGAACTCTCCATCTCTATTCATGAACACAAATGGGAAGAAATACTGGGATTATGAACCTGAGCTCAGAGGTAAAGAAAAATAAGGAAAGAGCAGTTAACCACACCCTCCCCATTTACAATTTTTTGGGTAAATCATAGCCAAATGCTTAAAAAAATTAAAAATAAGACAAGCTTTTGGTCACCTCCTTCCTCCCCAGAGAGCTGTCAAAAAGGGGGGAAGACGGTCCCTTGGAAACACACCGGGAGCAGGCGCGCAGTAGCCGCGGTGAGGGCACGGCCCCGCCAGGGGCTCACTCCCGACCCGCAGGGCAGCGCTCCCGGCTACCACACCCCCTCGCCAACGGGGAGCCGCACGCCCAGGCCCGGCTCGCGCCGCACCTCCTGCACCCCGCCAGGCGGCGACCCGCCCCACCGACCACGGCGCCCGCGGCCTCCCCGCGCCCCGCCGGCTCCTCCCGGGCACCCCCGGCCGCACCCCGCCCCGCCCCCGCGGGCCCCGACCGCTCACCTGGCCCCCGGCTCCGCCCTCACCCCCGGCCAGCGGAGCTGGCACGGCCGCCCCTGGAATCGCCGCCGGGGTCCGGGTGGAGGTCGGCTGAGGCGCGGAGGGGGAGGGGGAGGGGTGATGCCGAAGCCGCCTCCTTTCTCCTCCGCCGCCCGCCGCTGCCGCGGCCAGGCCAGGCGTCCTCGGCCGTCGCCCCTTCCTCACAGTCTCGCGGTCGCGCTGCCTGGCCCTCGCCCCGACTCCCACAGACACCGACTCCCACACGCCGCTCGGCCTCAGCCCCTCACTCGCCTGCCGCTGGCTCTCTCGCGCGCGCGACCCCGCTCACACACAGCGCGCGCGATGCTCGCAAGGCCGCCTGCCCGCGTGCGCGCAAATATAGACTCGGCGCGCGCCCGGCCCCGCCCTCCCAGAGCCGCAGCTCGAGGGTGGGGGGCGGTGGCCGCAGGGGCGGGGCAACGAGGGCGGGGCAACGAGGGGCGGGGTCTGCGGGCCTGTCGACCGCACCTGCGCGGAGACCAGTCCTCCGCCTAGCTCCGGGCAGGGCAGCAGGGGCCGGGCTCCCGAGGGCGTGCTTTCCCTTCCCCCTAAACTGTCCTTTCTGAAGAGCGCGCGTCGGTGATGTTCTGGGCCCCGCGGGAAACCCTGAGTTGAGTCCCTGTTATGCGCGCCCCTCGCCTCGCTTCCCTCCTCAGGATCCAGCCCGCGCCGCTCTGAAGCCAGGCCCGAGCCCCCGAATCCCCGACGTGCGGTGACCCCCGCCTTTCTCAGGGCCACTGCCCGGGTTACCCTTCCCGCGTTTGTCCTCTCTCCAGGAGGCAGGGATCTGGGGACAAAGATCGGAGGTATCTGAAAGGCCTCCCGCGTGTGCAGTAAAGACAATGCCTCCGCGTGTGGACAGACGGGTTTTGCGCTCTTTGGAGAGTACCGGGGTTGAGCAGGTTGAAAGATAAAAGACAGGCAGGATGGGTGGAACTAGCTCTGCCCCTTAGAAAGCAGTGCAATCCCTGGGCAAGTTATTTAACTTTCCACCTTTGTTATGAAAAGATGGAAGTGTAACCGGGTTGCTATGGGAATGAAACCAGAGATGGTAATTTAAGAGTCTCAAGGAATTTTAAAACTATATGAAAATGAAATTCATAATCCCAAAAGAGGTTAAAAACATGAATATATTCGCCTATATTACTACTTTTTTCTAGGCTGTGAATAAAACAAAGTGGATGCACTCCGTGCTTTACAGGAAACTTCACATTTCCAAATAATTTCAGGCACTAGAGAACCCAGGTGTGAGCCATAAGTCCCTCCGAGTCCCTTCTGACTTACCTCAGGCAACAACTTCAATTAGGCCTTCCTTTCCCAATCTATTGTCAATACAATTCCATCACCGGGATTTTTTTTTTTCTGACTTACCATAGGATATTGAGTGTTCTTGAAGACTTCTTTACCCAAGTAACAGCTGGAGCTGGACTGCCTGGATAGAATTTCTGGTTTTACTGCCTATCTGATCATCTGCTACTCATGTCATCATCTACTACCCAAGAGAATCTTCATCTGAATCTATTCACCCTTAAAACTGAGGCTAAAAAGTTACTTATTTCACTGAGTTGTCATAAGGAGTGTGTTAATAAACATGGTTTGATCCCTTAATATCCATCGTGACCAGGTTCCAGATCGCCATAATATCAAAATCTAAAGAGTGTTCAAATCTGATGTATAAAACGGTGGGTAAAATTTGCATGTAACCTCCAATATAAATCCTCTCCAGATTGCTCATGACACCTAATACAACACAAAACACCTAGTAAATAATTTTTACACTGCATTGTTTACAGAAACAAGAAAATGTGTGTGGATTCAGTACTGATGCAATTTTTTTTCAAATTTTTTTGATCCACAATTGGTTGGTCAAATGCATCAATACAAAAGGCTGGCTGTACATAATACTTAATGCCTGCTACAAAGCAAGAGCTTTAGCCAGGCCTGGTGACACATGCCTTTAATCCCTGCACCCTAGGAGGATGAGGCAGTAGGGGTGAAAATTCCAGCCTAGCAAGTGTGTGTTTCATGCTACTATGATGTAATATACCACAGAGGGTAACCAAGAGAAGGATTGTCACACAGGACACATAAACAGGAATGTGACTTATGACCTTCAAAAGAAAGATTGTAAGGTCTACAGAACTAAAATGGTGTTTTCCACTCTGATGTTCAGTTTCCTAGGACATAAAACATATCAAACCCAAAGACCAACAAGAGAAGCATTTCTTGAGCAGGGGAAAGGTTCATCCCAGAGATATTAACACTAGGAAAATCCAGGAAAAGACTCACAGGGAAATTCACCCAGGAAAAAAATTTACACAATCAAAAATATTTATATTTAACCTATTCCTTCAGTCCTTCAAAAATTGAATTGAGAACCGGGTATTTTGCTCAAAAGCATAAGTGCCTGCCTGGCAAGCATGAGTCATGAGTTCAATCCCCCGTACCAAAAAAAAAAAAAAAATTGGGCTGGGGATTTAGCTCAGCGGCATAAGCACCTGCCTTGCAAGCAGGCGGTCGTGAGTTGATCCCTGGTACCAGAAAAAAAGAAGAAGAAAAAATTGAATCCAATTTATGGTAACTATGTATCCCTTGGTATCACACTGGTAAAACTATGGACAGGGCAGTCATGGTGAACCTTTAGTATGTGTGGCACAGTGGGCACACAAAGCCATCTCTGGCAGCACTTGAGCCAATTGTATGAGTTGCTTTATTTAAGCTAAGCCTCAATATTTAGGTCTAATTGCAGGGTTGGCACTTAGTGATAAATAAGTGGATTTGGGGTTACAGTTTGGGAACTAAGACTCTGTAACTTCTCCACCACTGGGACAGGGAATTTTAATTAACTTTCTTGTCCCCCCACAAAAGTGATCATTAACTGTACTGCTACTATGTGCTGTACACATCTCAAGATATTCCTGACTTGGCTGGTCCAAAGGTAGTGAGTTATCTCAATTGATTGTTCACAGTCAGTACAGATTGAACTCCTTGTTCTACTCTTTTCCCCCCTTCTCACTACTGCACTTGACTAGTCTTAAAAAAGAAGATATTCCTGACTTATGCAGCATTGCTTTTGACCCGTGTTAATGGAGAGAAAAACAAAAGGCAGGAATATTTAAAACACAAAACCACTGGGGATATAGCTCAGCAGGCACAGTGCCTGCCTGGTAAGTACAAGGTCCTGAGTTTGATTCCTGATACTAAAAAAAAACCAAAAACACAAAGCCAATGATATAGTTTAAGTAGTTGGTTATTAATATATTGATGAACTAATGTTCATGTGAATGACCATCATTTCATACTTCATAGTTTTTTAAGTAAGCAAGGAGCAGGACTTATTTTCACTTTTTTTTTTTTTTTTTTTTTTTGGTATCAGGGATTGAATTTACTACCTCGAGCTTGCCTGGCAGGCACTTAAGCCACTGAGCTAAATCCCCAGCCCCTGTTTTCACTATTTCTATAAAGGGAACCCAAAGTAAAGAAAGGATATTTCATAATTGTCAAGGCTTTGTGGTCGATATGTTAGCCAGGTATATCTTCTCTCCCTTTGAGTAGTCACACATATGCTCAGAAGTATTTAAGTAGCTTGTCTGTCGTTTGTGTGTGTGTGTGTGTCTTTTTCTTTTTCTTTTTTTTTTTTTTTTGTCTTTTTCCTTTTTATTAGTACCAGGGATCGAACTCACGACTGCCTGCTTGCAAGACAGGCGCTTATGCCAGCTGAGCTAAATCCCCAGCCCCTAACTTGTCTGTCTTAATCATGCACTTTTCACCATTAACCAGCAAATTAATATTCTTTAAAGGGCCCTAAAGTTAGCTGAGTCTTCTGGGAAGACCTAAGTAACACAGCATACCTGGGATCAGATAAATCTGATTGCAAATCTTGGATTTTCCTACAGCAGTATGCAATGATTGCTTGACTTTCATAAGTCATCCTAGATTATATTAAATGCTGGATGTTAATCAAGTTGATGCAAAAATAGCAAAGAGGAATTAGACACTATTTAGAAATGTATGGTGATAGGGCTAGGGATTTAGCTCAGTGGCATAAGCACTTGCCTTGGGAGCAGGCAGTCGTGAGTTCGCTCCCTGGTCCGATAAAAAGGAAAAAGACCAAAAAAAAAAAAAAAAGAAAAAAATGTGTGGTGATACAAGTAATTAAACATTTTCTGCATGACCCTAAGTGTGACTGAGAGTAATGCCTTCAAATTAAAGTTTATTCCAGTTTTTTTTTTTTTTTCTTTTTTCCAGTACTGGGGATCGAACTCACGACCGCCTGCTTGCAAGGCAGGTGCTTATGCCACTGAGCTAAATCCTCAGCCCCTAGTTTATTAAAGTATGTATATTTGACACTGAGGACTGACCCCAGACCTTAACACTGGATTATATCCTCAGTCCTCTATTTATTGTATTTATTTAGAGTCAGGATTTTGCTAAGTCATTATGTTCCCCAGACTGAGCCTCCTGCCTTGCCTCTCAAAGTGCCAGAATTACAGGCCTGAGTCACCAAAAACTAAACCAAAAACTTCCAGACTTTTGCTTAGTCCTACATACACTAGAATCAAATGGGAAGCTTCCAAAAACAGACAAATAACACCCATGACACATACTTTATTTGTCCTGTTCAGTCCTTCTCCTTGCAAGCCACACTGGCTTCTCAGGCATCTCAAACAACTTCTGGGTATTGCTCCTGTCCCAATCTATTGCCAATATAATTGCATCGCCTGGATTTTTTTAAAATCTGATTTCGCATAGGGTACTGAGAGTTCTGTAAGTGCTGTAGTGTAATCTACAATAGTGACTGCTAGAGCCTGACTGTCTGGGTTGGATTTCTGGTTCCACCACCTGTGTGATCATCTGAAGTGACAGCCTTTCTGAATCTTACTTGTTCACCTGTAAAAGTGAGGATAAAAATAGTTACCTACTTCAGTGAGTCGCCCTCAGAAACGAGTTAATAAGCACTGTGTATGTGGGGGACTGGTACTGGGGGAACCCATATTTTTGAGCTATGCAGGGGAGTCTAATGTGCAATCATAGTACAATAGAAACATTAAAATGAGATGTATTTGTGCTGAATTGCATGTTATCTCACCATCTCAGTGACGCAATCAGATTAGCTGGTTAGAATATAATAGCAGCACAAATCATTTTTTTTAAGGTTCCTGTTAAACAGTACCAGGAAGATATTTGCAAACAAGGATTTAATGAAAACAAACTCCCCCTAACAAGTTTGCCCAGGTCCATCCAATCCTGTGTCTCTTGATTCTGTTTGTAC